GCTGCTGGGCTTTATCTGCTGGAGGTTGGGTAAACCAGGAGGGAGGTCCAAGTAACTGGCAAATCTAACAAGTTCCCAGGTGATGCAAATGCTGCATACTTGGGACCACAATGTGAGGACCCCTAACCTAAAGCCTCCATTTCTAGACCATTAACTAAATGATGGACAGATGTTGTTGCTTCTGCTGGCCAAAAAGTTGGTCCTGATCCATGGAAATCCCGTGTGTGCATGGTAGAATTACTCCTCAATGTCTCCAGACCTGTGGCCTTCCACAAGCACGTCGTCAGGCATGTCTTCCTTCCACGGCCCCTCTAAGTGGGTGTGAAGTTGAGTGTGGAACTCTTTGCACCACCCAAAGATTCCTGATGAACTTGAAAGTGGGTTTGTGACATTTGTCTTGGTTGCCATGAAAACACCTGCCTGTATTTGACTAAGACAAAATGTAAGAGCATTTCAACCCAATTGCTTCCACAAATAAGAACATATATCAGTGGTGCAATTATTTCTTTCAGCATCTAAAGCTTCTGTGTTTATAGCTTTGAGCCTGACACAGACAGCGGTTTCTTCCTTTCTTGAGTTATCTCTCGCCAGCAGGATGAAATTAAAGGAAGCCTTGAGGAAATGGGGCTGCTGGCAGGGACACGACACTTGCCTGGGAGGCTCATGCACTCCCTTGGATGCACTGTATCACAGCTTGCCACGTTACGCTGCACAACTTCATCGAATGACTCTGCAAACATCATTGGACAAGGGTCTGGTGCGCCAGATGGTGGTGCAGCTCTGGAGTTACCCCTCTACGATGAGCAGCATCTGGGGAGCCACCAGGGTCTGTTTTGCTGATTCTCTATCTGTGGGGTGCATCTGAGAGGAACTAGAGCACAAAACCTGGCCACTTTCCAGGGAGGAGAGGCGAGATACTGAGCATTAAACTTTGGCAGATGATTTCCATAATTATGCCTATTTTATCTTTGTTTTCCTTTTCCAGAGGCATTTCTTAATTTCTCATATACTTGAACTTTGGAATCAAGCTGGAACACAAGGCACCTTTTAAAAGTATAGCGAAAGATTGAATCACAAATATTTTAGGGTGAATTGTAGATTCTATATATATTTGTGACTCTTTGGAAAACTGCAGAAGGTTGTCAGACAAGATGTCTTGTGTTGGTGACATTTTTTAAACAGGGCCCATATTTACCTGAGACAGGTGTCCCCAACTCATGGTGCTCAAGCAGGTTTCATTGAGAAGTCCAAGTTGTGCTTTACCACCCCAAGAAGGGGTCTGTCCCGGCCCAGCACCGCCACCCCTCTGTGGCTAAGCATAGTACATGGCACTTAATATCCATATATGTGTTGTTGTCATTGTTGTTGTTGTTAGGTGCTATTGAGTCTGTTGAAATTTATAGTGTGTTAGACAGCATTCTCTAGAGAAACAAAATCAGAACACTTATGATTTTATTGATAGACAGATAGATACAACATAAGAAATAAAGAACCGATTAGTCCACAGAGCAGTACAAATGGCTCAGTTCAACTCACTTCCATGAGACAGTTAATACACTGGTAGTCCTTCAACTCACAAGGGCTGCTGGGTGCAAGTCAAGGAAGCAGACAGCTGAGTCTTCTATAAAGCAATCCAGGCAATCCAGTCACAGGCAGTAAACAGCAGGGCAGGTCACCAACAGTCAGCCAGATGACAGGGTCCGACAATCCTCAGTCAAGTGATGCATACACCAGCAGTGCGGCGAAGCAGGTCTTGAAGGAACCTCAAACTATAGCAACACAGTCCATGGGTTGGGTGTCCCACAGGTAGTGTAGCTCACAAGTTGAGGCAGAGAACTAGCGAAGGTAGCCACACACTGGTCCAATCATCAGAGAACAAGAGACAGAAAGGCAAGTCTTGCCGTGCCATTTATCTCTTTGCCCTTCAGTTAAATTGCAACCTTATTAACCCCACCTGTGTTTATTGGCCAGGTTGGCACAATAATCTTACCTATCACACATAGTGAGCCTATGCACAACAGAAGGAAACACAACCCAGTCCTGTGCCATCCTCACAATTGTTGTTCTGTGTGAGCCAATTGTGGCAGTCATTGTGCCAGCCCGTCTGGTCAAGGGTCTTCCTCTTCTCTACAGTCCTCCTTTACCAAGCATGATGTACTTTCTGAAGAACAGGCTCTCCTGATGACAGGTCCAGGGAACCTGAGACGCAGTCTCATCATCCTCACTTTACAGGAACATCTGGCTGTTCTTCCAAGACTGGTCTGCTTATTTTTTGGTCAGTCCATGGTACTTTTCATGCTCTTCACCAGCACCATAATTTAAATGCATCCATTCTTCTTGGATCATCCGTATTACCTTCCAACTCGCACATTCAGGTGAGACAATCCTCAGAGGCCAATGGTTTGTGCTCAACCTCTAACCTAGAAGTTGGCAGTTTGAACCCACTTCATGGCATCGCATTAGAAGGAACTGGCAATCAGGTGCTATAAAGATTACAGTCAAGACAAGCAAGCAAACAACAAAACCCATGAAGCAATATGAGTCTGTAACACAGGGTTTCTGAGGCATGGAATGGACTTGAAATACTTGAAAAACACAGAAATACTAATATTTCTAACTATGAGTAAAGTAGATTTATCCATTTATTCATATAATCTTCAATACCTCTCAGTAAGACTGGAGAAAATGACCGATGATCTTATCTTATAAAGGTGACAGCCTTGGGAACTGTATGGGGCAGTTCTCCTCTGTCATTATAGCATCATTGGGGTCTAAGTGAACTTCATGGTAAGGGGTCTCATTTTATTGTTAACGTGATCTCCAGATTTCCTTTCTAGGATGTGGAATTTATATACAAGACCATCCTTTACTCATAATATTCCGTGTTTTCTTCACAGATGCTCTTAATGGTATTGAGAATTCCATTTATAGAACAGCCTTCAAGTTACGATCCGTGCAAACTCTGTGTCAATGTAAGTACAGGCTCATGTGAAGCCCTTGGAATCGTTTGCTCCTTACAGGTGATGGGAAGGAGAATCCACCATCTGAGTCACCCCATCCTGAGAGAAGGCTGGGCCTGGGCACAAAACCCTACTGTGACAGAAAGGTTTGTGGGGAGCATGGTTCTGATGACTAGCCGTAGGAACTCATTGGTTTCATCTTTAGGGTGTAAAATAAACTGGTTCAGAATCTGGACTGACAGATTTAAGTATGAGAATTTAAGTTTACTTCTACGGAAATTTGTATTGTTAATGTACATCGGAACACCCAGTAGTAGATTAAAATGAATAACTCATGGGTCATACATTTCAAAACTAATTTGAGAATCCCCTGAGAACTGCTGTTCTGCAATAGAATTTTTTTGGATAGAATGCTAGTTTTCTATCTTATAATATTTTTTGAATCACCTCGATGGCACTGGCAGGTAACCTGCTAACAGCGAGGTGAGCTATTGTTTCACGGAGACAGGCGACTCGTGTCTGTTCCTGTAAGTAGCTACAAACTCAGAAGCTCAGCACCACTAGGAGGTGGAATTGACTCAAGGCAAAGGTTTGGTTTGGGTTTTTGGTAGAGTGTTGTTTACGTTGCACTCCGCTGCTAACTGAAGGTCAATGATTCAAACCCACCAGCAGCTCCGTGGGAGCAAAATGAGGCAGTCTACTTTCAGGAAGACTGGCATCCTTGGATACGCTATGGGGTATTTCTACTTAGTCCACTAGGGCTGACTGATAGGAGTTGAAACCCACCCAACAGCAGTGAGGGTTATTTTTGTTTGTTTGGGTATTGGGTGGGGGGAGGGTGTTGGTTTATATTATTAGTTATGGAAAATAAGGTACAATGTAACAAAAGCTTCAATCCTGTAAAAGTTCTCCAAAATGAAATAATTGTGTTCTAGCTATTACAGTTAAGCAAACAAACAAACAAAAAAACATAGCAGGCATTCCACATATCTAAAGTTATTGATTTCCTATCGGTTCTGTATGTTATGAAAATTAGTAAGTGACACCCTCAGGAAGGGAACACAGACCATATGGGTGCTATAAAAAAGTGTGGTCAAGATTAGATGGTGTGTGGCTACCAGGTAAAACCATGTTTGGGGTCTTATTTAAACACTTGTTTCCAAACAAACAGCCATCTAAGTGAGATGTCAACTAAGTCCACAAAGAAGAAGCACACCAGCATCAGTGACTGAAGGGTTGTAAATCATACAATCTGAAGCTGAAGGAGCAAATAGTTATCAGAGGCTAAATTGTGAGATTCTGGTGCGCATAAGGCTAGGGAGGGCAGTGAAGCCCAAGATACATTTGCGAGATCTGCACAGCAAATAAACCTCTGGCGATTTCCCTCTATCCACAATGGAGGGGTGTGAATAAACTAGTTACCAAACAGAGTACATTAGAGATGACTAGGAAGATCAAAATGATAAACCCCACTTGAATGGTTAGAACCTTGTCAGTTGACCCTCTCTGATACACATTCAACCTGATCTGGTGTGCAACATTCTCTGTGTGCATCTTTTTTCATATTGGGGTTTATCTCTGATGTGTTTTGTCATGGGGGTAGCCTCTTGAATTGTTGTTACATATTTTTCTGGGTTGGGCTTTTTATATATGAAACCCAGGGTTAATGAAGGGACAGAGACAGCAAGAAGAATAAAGGTTCCTGGGGGTTCCATGGGGGAGGGGAGGGAGGGATAAAGGGGAGTTCAAGAAGAAAGAGGTTTTGAAACTGATTGTTGTACCAATTGTACAATACTGCTTGATGTGATTGAACTATGGAATGATACGATATCTGCATTTGCTCCCAATAAAATGGTTTAAAAAAGAATATAGTACGGGAAATGGTTTCTAGCATTTATCATATCAGATGTATGACATGCCTGCTAAAGGCTACATGTATTTTATCCTTTTCCATCTGCCTAATACATCAGAAGAAGATCAAGGACTAACTATCATTTTCAGTACAGATTAAAACTCTTCTTCCAAAAGAAATACGAAGTCCTCTCAACCAGACCGATGGACAACATCGTGACACGCGGAAAGAAGACGGAAGTGGCCAAGGATCTCCTCTTGCTTGGCTCTGCAGTCAGCGCTCAGGGAAGCAGCGGTCAAGACATCCAAGGACCCGTGCACTGGGCAAAGCCTCCGCCAACACCTCCTTAACGTGCTGAAGCAAAGGGTCGCTGTGAGTCAGAAGGGACTCTAGCCTCTAGCAGCAGCAACGGCAGCCAGAAACGTTATACAGATAGACCAGTGGCTTTCAAATTCTTCTCTAACAAAGTGTCTATGAGTGGGGGGCCCATCCTTAAAAGGTTAGTAAGATGAGAAGTGGGCAGAGAGTAGGTACGTTAATGAGGCTCAAGGGCCAGCTTCTCTAGCAGAATGAGTCTGGATTTCGCTATTGACTGTACAGACTGTCATTCCGTGTCAGCCTTCCTTTGGGGGAAAAAATTCTTGGCATTTAAAAAAACCTTAAACATCACTGATCTAGACAAGTAAAGTCACATTATTTCCTATTCTAGGGATCAAGGAAAGGCAGAATTTGGTCACTCACAATTTATCTCAATTAAAGGAAACAGTTCCCCCAATCTCCCTCATTGATGGCCAGGAGTTCCTGAGGGATGCAAGCAGTTAAGTGCTTGACTCCTGCTGTGAAGGGAAATGTCTTACTGTAGTTCTTCCACCTGCAGTCTCTGAAACTCGGTCCGTGGGTGGGAGCATGCAAATGAGGAGCAGAGGACCATTCCTGGGGATGCAAGAGAACCAGCTGAGACGCAGGAGCAGAGAGAACCTTGGGAGCATCAAGGAAGAGTAGCCATCGGTGGTGCACAGGCAAGACCCCTGTTTGAATTGGCAGAGGCAGCAGGGCCTCAGCAGAGAGACCACCTGATGAGCCAAGAAGCCACGCTGAGACAGAGCAGAGAAGCCTTGCCACTGATGCCATAGGACAGCGAGGCAGAGCAGCAGGTGGGTAGAGGCAAGAGACTTTGTGAACGAGGCTGAGGACCAGAGAGTCTTGGCAGCTGCCTGAGAAGAAGCACTGCTGTGGAAAAGAAGAGTCTATTCTTTTCTTTTCTTTTTAATCATTTTATTGGGGGCCTGTACAGCTCTTACCACCATCCATCCATCCATCCATCCATCCATCCATCCATCCATCCATCCATCCATTGTGTCAAGCACATCTGTACATTTGTTGCCGTATTTTCTTTCTACTTGAGCCCTTGGTATCAGCTCCTCATTTTTCCCCTCCCTCCCTCATGAATATTTGATAACTTATAATTTTTTTTGGATGTCTTACACTGACCAATGTCTCCCTTCACCCACTTTTCTCTTGTCCATCCCCCAGGGAGAGGGTTATATGTAGATCATTGTGATCAGTTCCCACTTTCTCCTCCCAACTTCCCCTTCCCCTCCTGGTACCATGACTCTCACTGTTGGTCCTGAGGGGTTATCTGTCCTGGATTCTCTGTGTTTCCAGCATAAATTCTATTCTTAAATGTTTTCTGACCCTGACTTTTGGTAACCAGCTAACTTCCCTTATAAACCCCCATACTCATGAGTATAAGCTGTCAGATCAGTGGGGCCATGGCAACAGATGTTCAAACCCAGCCCAGAAGGAGAAGAACCACTCATGTCAGAAGAGGGTAAAAGAAGGTCAGAGAGTACAGACACGTCTGACCTCTGCCTTGTAGATTCCCTTTGTGTGGCCACCGGAAATTGGATGTGGCCTCCACGCCAATTCCTCAGATACCAACTGTAAGGCGGGTGGTTCAAACACACCCAGATACCCAGAAATAGTTGGAAAGTACTACTGAGGAAGCTATCTGACTAAAAACCCAACAGCAACAGCAAAATATCCCACGCACATGACATGAGCGCTCAGGAACAGGCTCTGCTATGTGTCCTGGATCAGAGTTGTGGGGAGATGGGTAGACACCACCATTACCTAGGTTGCTGTACAAGAGAAATCTCAGCAGAAGATATATATATATATTCTACATAGCATGTCAGGGAGGGTGGGATGGGTTTTTCAGTTTGATAATGACCAAAGAGTTTGCAGCCCCCACCACTTACCAGGAGCCCTGATGGGGTAGCAGGTTAAGCAGTGGAGTGCTAACTGCCTGCCGCCATGTTTTCATTCACGCTCCAGTCCCAGACACGCCCCTTACTTCCCGAGAGTCTCTTGTGAGGAGCAGTATCAAACAAACAAAAACTTTAGGACGTTTGCCAGATTGTTGTTGTTGTTAATCTGAGAGGTTGAGTCATAAAGTAGAAAGACCCATGGGTTTTGTCATTCTATAGGCTGCGGCATCCACGGCTCACCTCTCGGGCCTGGCTGCCACTGACCCCCTGCTCCTCTGAGGGTAAACATGGGGATTTTCTCATTTTTTCTGTCATCCTTTGTCCTCGAAAAACCAGAGAACCGTCTCTGTGTTATTCTTCATTGCCTAGTAACATTTTTTGGAGACGGTGATAAAAACACAGATGAAACAAAGCATCCTATTTTTTAAAATAAGCACCTCTGGTTTTATGGAGCACCTGCTTTAGATAATAAGACTGAGGCCAGGATGGGACCTGAAGCGTCTGATACTTCAGCAATTGCCCCTTTAATACAGATCCCTGGCTTTTCGATCCCGTGCTGCTGCTGCTGCTGCTGCTGTTATCAGGGGGGCGTGGCACCCATTTGACACGCAGTGCCGTGGGTGGCAGAGTGGAACTGTTGTCTGTGCTGTCTGCCCTCTTCTGCAGAACTGCCAAGTCGGTCTGAACCACCGAGCTTCTGGTTCATCTCCAAGGGCTTAGCGGCGGTGCCACCAGGTAGCTTTCAAGTTCCATCCCAACACACAGCATCCTTCCATGGGAGGCTAGTAGCTTCTCTCGACATAGACTTACATGAGCACTAAATGTTCTCAATCCACTTGCCGAGGGGAAACCGGTTTCTTCCAACTTTCCATGGACGCATTCGTACTTGCTCGGAGGGTTACTCTTCCAGCTCCTCACTTCTCCTTCATTCCATGAAGCAGCCAGCCTGGAGGCCGGACGAGGATCGGCCATCATGGTCCAACGCTGCTGAACTAACTCACTTCTCCGAAATCAAATCGAGGGCTCAGAAGAGGTATTTCTAAGTGAGAACACAAAAGATCGGTGTCTAAACAATGGGCAGCTAGAAATCTCTTCCAAAGAGCACCGCTGTCATAAAAAGACAGTCCTTTTTTTTATTTTTAAATCATTTTATTGGGGCCTCGGACAATTCTTAGCACAATCCATCCATCTAGCCATTGTGTCAACACGTATGTACATTTGTTGCCATCATCATTCTCAAAACATTTGCCTTCTACTTGAGCCCTTAATATCAGCTCCTTATTCCTCCCCTCTCCTCCCCCTCCCTCATGAACCCTTCATAATTCATAAGTTATTATTATTTTGTCATATGTTACACTGTCCGACGAAAAAGACAGTCTTCCTCAAACAGTGGATGATACTTGCTTTAATTGAAGCCTTTGGTTCCAATCAGAAAATAAGGTTCAATTCTCGGCATGATTCCCACAGTGGACCTGATTGACAGCTACTTAATCCAGCATCTCCTACTACACCAATACCTCCGGGAAGCGAGGACAGGCTCCCTCTCGGTGCAGCAGCTCTTCCAGGCCCTCCAGGGACTGTTTCAGAGAGTCAGGGTAGAAACACCAGGGCAGGTGCTTCCTCGAGCTTCGGAACTCACCCTGAGCCTCCTCACAGCGATGTACGACAGGTGAGGGAGTGGGTGCCGGTGCTGGTGAACTCACGGGCAGTATTCATTCACTCCTGGTCATGGACCATCTGACCGTGCCTACTGTTGGGATACATAGCCTGATAATCTGCTCCCAGAAGCATAAAGATTAAACCTAGAACCGCCTGTGCAATAGATTGTTCTACTCTTGTCCCATGCGGTTCTGATCAGTCGGAATTGACTTGCCATCACTCGGCATTTGCTTGGAGTCTCTGGGTGGTACAAAGGCTTAAGACCTTTGGCTGCTAACCATAAAGGTGGAAGGTTCCAGTTGATTGAGAGATGCCACAAAAGAAAGGCCTGATGACCTGTTTCCAAAAAGTCAGCCACGGAAAACTCTTGGGAGCATAGTTCTATTCTGACATGCCTGGGTCACCATGAGTACGGTGGACTTGGTGGCTGCCAGCAGGGAAATGCTGGCTTGGAGTTTGGGAGAAAAGGAAACTTCACATCTGTTGGTTTATTTTCCACAAATACACTGTGCCTGGAGGAGCGACAGGAATACAGCTACGTCCATCCGCTTCCCTAAGACGTAGGCTCCAAGGACTGAGGGGAGGACAATAAATTCCTCATTGCTTCTTCTCTCCTACAAACTGTCCCCGCCTCTGGCTAGGGCGATTAGACATCTGTCCCTAAGGTAAGGTGACCAGATGCCCCGCTTTTGGCGGGACAGTCCCAATTTTTAACAATTTTTCCAGCATCACGTGGCATTTTTAAAAAGTCCCGATTTTTTGAAAGCATGCATGACAAGCTAGGGTATACGGTTTTAGGCTGCCATATGGCTATTTTACCAGGATATGAGTTTATCAATGGTGTCCCACTTTACCAATGTTAAAATCTGGTCACCTTACCCTAAGGACAATTACACTTTGCTTTGAGTCTCAGGTGGCTTTTTAATGTTTTTTTTTCCTCAGTTGTTTGTTATCCATTGCCAATTTTTATTTTATGTTTCTGCCATAGTAAACATGAATGTCCTGTGCATGATGCTGACCTTGAAATGCATTTGAGCCATGTGAAAGGATTGAATCTATATGCTTGGAAACTAATGGTTGTGTGCGTCTGTGGGTGTGAGGGTGAGTGTGTGTGTGTGCGGTTTACTATTCCCCTGGCCCACTCTGTGGTCCCAGCCTAGAAGGGCTCACCTACAGAACAGACGTGTGAAAATTCAGACTGAATGCAAATGAGAATGAGTGGGGGAAAAATTAAGCAAAAAGAAAGAATCTAGCTTCCAGAGGCAAGTACAGTTTAACTAGTTGGCAAAATCCCTAGTGTGGTTTTCTTTTCTAGTTCATTATTAATTTTTTATTGCTCAAATAAAATACAGACATAGACACAAGTCATGTTTAATGATCTTTAGCCTCCTTAAGCATTAGCTTTCAGCTGCCACTTATTTCTGCTCTCAGCACCTGCCGGTAACAGTCCTCTGCCTTGCATAAATGTTTTTACAGGCTATGGGGCTGGGCACTATGGAAGCCATGTGTGAAGGTGATGAGGCTTTGAGTAGCCAGTGAATTGGTGGGTTGGTTTGTTTTACTTGCAGGAATGTTTGCTTCTTTGCTTGTCCTTTGGTCCTTTTCTCTGTAGTTTCGTTTCCAGGCCACTGAGCTCTCAGGAAGTGATACTGCCTGCTGCAAGAAGACAGGGTTTGCCCAGGGATCCCTAGTGCCTGGCACTGTGCTTCGCAGTAAATAGCTCTAAACCAGGGTTTCTCAACCTTCCTCATGCTGCGACCCTTTCATACAGTTCCTCATATGGTGGTGACCCCCAATCATACAATTATTTTCGTTGCTACTTCATAACTGCAATTTTGCTACTGTTGTGAATTGGGTGACCCCTGTGAAAGGGTCATTCGACACCACCACCCCAGAGGTCGTGACCCACAGGTTGAGAACTGCTACCTCTAAACAAATGTGTGAATGGATAAATGAATGGTGAAGTATTTTAATGGTGTGTGTGTGTGTGTGTGTGTGTATACTTGCCATGGAATCCACTCTGATGCATGAAGACCCGTCTCCCACAGAAACCTTGTCTGGTTCTACACCATCCTTAGTATCACCACCATGTTCCCCGAGTCAGTGTGCCAGCACAGCCATTGTGCCAATCCATGGCACTTCCAATCCAATGAGGCCTCCTTGCCCTACTGGCCCTCTCCTTCACCAACTGTGATGTCCTCCTCCTGTACTTGACCTCTCCTGACAACATGCCCAAAGAGGCAGACCTCCAGAAGGTTTCCTCCTGCCTAGGTTTCAGAAGTAGACCTCCAGGCCTTTCTTCCTCATCTGGGTCTGAACGCTCCACTGAAACCTGTCCACCCATTTGACGTTGTCTAATATTTGGAGAAATAACCTGGTGATCTGTTTCCATAGAAATTAAGCCCAGAATACTCTGTGGGACCCTTCAACTCTTGGGTCTCCATGAATCGGGACTGACTTGGCAAAGTGAGTTCCAAAACTCTAGGAAAGCAATGTGGACTTTCTTTTCCTCTCTTCTGTCCATGGACTATTTATTTTGGTGAAGCTGGCGTTTGGAATAAGCGTGGCATCGCTGCCAGCATCACAGCCACATGCCCGGTACCCTAGTGCGTGCAACACAGCGACAGGCACCCGGTGGAATTCCAGGCTTGAGTCTGGCAAATTCTCAGTTAGGCAAAAAATGGTTATGAGAAGCGATAACTTGTAACATGTAAGAAATGTCCATGAAAGGTTATATTTTTCTTGTAAACGGTGCCACCAAGGGCAACCAGCCCTCCCCATCCTGGTCTCTTCTGTCTTTGTTGCTGTGCAGCCTGGGGACCGGTGTTCTCAAGCTTGCGCCGGCTGCTGCTGCCCTGATTGCCCTCTCCGGGGACAGTCCTCTCACAAAATACAGAGGTAACACCCGTGGGAGCCTGGGGTGTGTGTGTGTGTCTAAGTAGAGGGGTCTCTAAAGTCCTACCACATCATCTCTTCACTCCTCCGATGTCCCCCCTGTGATAGCTGTTTTTCAGCATGTGCTCAGGATGACTACGAGTCTAACGAGGGAAAGTGTATAATGGCTAGACCGTTCATGCTGTCCACCTCATTTTCACGACTTGGCTGTGCTTGGGAGGCTTTTGGGTTGGGTTCATGCAGACGCCAATCAAAAGCACTCCTTTGAAGGCCAGGGCTAGCCCAACACCCTGGCCTTCGTCTTCGATGTGCCAACTTATCAGGAGGTGAAAGATGAATGCATTTGCATTCGTGATCTATTTATCTAGTGTGGGAGAGCTTCAAAATAATAATAATAATAAAATAATCCAGGATATACCGTTCCCTTTATACCTCGAAAGAAACTATTTACAATGCAAAAGACAATCCTTTTAAAGGTTTATTGCCTGTCATCAACTTAAAGATCCCTTCCCGCCTTCATGTGCGCAGCTCTTTTTCAGCTCTATGCAGACAATGCCAGAGGGCCCGGTGAGTCTGGGGCATGCATGACTCGAAGGGTGTTGAGGAACCTACTAACTGACCTACAGCAGGTAAGTCTCTCATACTCAAGAATGGAATCTGCCAGGTTAGAACACCTTTGGTATTAGAAAACACAACAAAACAACAGCCTGATCTTTGCAATGCTAGCATGTAATCTTTCCCCCACAGCCTTTCTCCTCTCTACCCATTGCTGTACAGTAAGGTGAGTATGAACATTGAAAAAAAGGGAGTTTTGGTGTTGCTGTTGCTTTTTTTTAATGTTGATTCAATTTTGACTCGTGGTGATGGCATGACAGTCTGAGTAGAACCACTGTAGGCTTTTCAATCATTGATTTTTTTCTGAAGCAGCTCACACTCAGATCTTTCTCCAAGGTGCTTCTGTGAGAACATTCTAACCATTCTATTAGAAGCTGAGCATGTCAATCATCTGTCCCACCCAGGGACTCCATCGAATGGCTGCAAATGTGCAAGATAACTTAGCAATCCTACCTCCCTAGGGTCAGATAATCCCCATCGAAAGAGATCCAGCCATCTCTTCTGCTCACTCCCTGGTGTTTTCTCTTTCCTGAATCTCCTCACACCATTTGCACTCCTGAATAACTAACGCTCACTGTGCTGTGCTGGACATGCCCAAGTTCTTCACACTTGATTTCCACTGTTCCTTCTCCCCACAAGACTGCTCAGTGCCCTTCCAGCTGACAAATCCTATTCATCTTTCAAGATCATTGAACTATCAGTCACCTCCTCCTGAGTGGTTTCTTTGACGTCCCCATACTCATCACTGATATGTAAATGTGTTAGATCGCTTGTCAACTTCTCTTGCACTGATTACCTCCTCACTGAATGATTTTTCCCACTA